AACCCGATTGCAGCTGTGGAAACATGAAATAAACAGTGACAATTAAGGGAATCCACAATATTTAACCGCAAACAGACAATTATCAATCAACATATATATATTTTTTAAATTGCTAAACATCAACAAGCTCTAAATACACGCAACAGCCAAAAGGCAGTTTAGAGAATACAGGCCCCAAACAAAAGTTCTGTAAGTCTGGTTTAAGGTTCAATGAAAAGAGCTAAATTTTACATTTTAAAAATTTTCCTCCTCCACAACAACAGTGTCAAGTCTCCAGGGTTCCCCCACTCTCCTCTGGCTGCCACTTCCTACCTCCGTCCTGGAGGGCAGGACACTGTGGGGCTGTGCAGGGAGCTAAGGTTGAGTCTGAACTGTGTGCAAGGGGGGGTTGTAGTGGGGGGGGAAGGTGGGGACGAGACCACACTTGTATGAGACAGCAATAGGGATGGGTACCCAGGGAACAGTGAGGTGATATGCCTGTGAGGGACCCCCACAGTGGGCGGGGGGGAATCATGCCCAGCACCATACTATAATACTAGCTGTAATAACTTCTAGCCCAGTTGAGAAGCATGAGTAAAAAGTGTTGCTAATCATCAAACGATTGCAGTATGTGAGAAGCTGGGATTCATCTGTGAACTCTAACACCTCTATTCTAGAGACAGGCTGAATGTCTCTCACAGGAGATTCTCTCCATCTGCCAGAAAGGAACCCAATTTCTAGGGTTTAAAAAAAGAAAAAGAAAATCAGCAGTAAAGTAGAATCAGAAATGAAACTGTCTGAACAACCTCTAGCTGAAAATATGGAATCAAGGTGATGGCTAACCAGGAGCAGCAGTAGAAAGGATAAAGAAAGATCTCTCTTCATTAGGCTGTCTAAGGAAGGAATTGTCCAAAGAATTACATGGATGCAAAACCCAAATAGTCTGTTTACCCAAATATTCTGTTTACCAAAAAATAAATGCCCATAAGAGCCACTTTATCACCTACTTCTCAATGAAACTGACAAGATTGCACATTCCTTGCAAGTCAATTTCACTCCACAGCAGATGGTGCAAGTATGCCGCAGGAGGTGCCTTCATATCATTTGTTAGTAAGTCTGACTGCAGTTTACATACGTGCAATAAACACCCATCCCATAGCCAAACCTGCCAAAACTAGAGGAACACAAAGTGTAAATTTAGCTTGTCACCTCTGAGACTAAAAGAGCCCAAATCTTAGGATTTCCCAGTACATTAAAAATTTTGTATGGGATATGCTCTAAGATAGTAATACTACTGCAAGGTGGGATGTTATTGTTTCAAGCTCCAGAACAAATCTTTTAGAGAGAAATAATGAGAGGACACTGTGTAGTTAAAAGCCATGCTTCCATACTGCTTTAACTAAATGAGAACTCGCAGCTGAACCCCAGCCTTTTATCTCTTTACAGTATGCTTCCCCCCCCCGCCCCCGTCTCTCTATAGGCCTCACGGACATACAGCATCCATCTCGTCAACAGATAATTATCCAGAACTAAATCTACATACTTTCTAAAATACTGAGAGCAGTCCTCCTGCAAGAAGACCTGACAGAAATGCAGTTGGATAACTGAGTTGTACTACAAATAGGAAAAAGAAAAACTCAAAAAAAGGGAACAAATCAAACTGTTTATCTGCAAATCAAAACCTGAAAGATGAAAAAATACATAGGGGGTAAAAAGAAGGCATTGGGTCATGTGGGGCCTCTGCAAGACACACTAGGAAATCTGGTCGCCACACCAGACAACAAAGCTAACCTATTTAACAATTTATTTGCCTCCATTTTCCTGAGCAGGGACCGGATCAGTCCCTCCACCGGGACACCCGCAGGCCCCAGGGGAAGCGCACCCAGGCCTAGGGTCAGTGAGGATCTAGTCAGGGAACTTCCGGAGGGACTGGATGTATTTAAATCAGCTGGTCCGGACGATCTCCACCCCAGAGTACTGAGAGAATTAGCAGGGGTCCTTGCAGGAACCCTGGCACGGCTTTATGAGCACTCGTGGTGCTCTGGTGTGGTGCCAGAGGATTGGAAAAGGGCCAGTGTGGTTCCCATCTTCAGAAAAGGGAGGAAGGAGGACCCAGGAAACTATAGGCCAGCTAGTCTTACCTCGATCTTGGGTAAGCTTTTGAGAGAATTATCCTGGTGCATGTCCGCAAG